AAAAGTCTCTGTGGGGGGGTGAAAGGAACTCTCAGCTAACCCTCTGTTCTCTGGACCACTATCTAGAAAGGGACTCCTTCCCTCCCCCAGCATCCTTCCATCTTCCAAATTTGAGCTAATGTGCAGAATGATCCAGAAGGGATCATCAGCAAAGGCCACGGACCCCCAAGATTAGAGCAGAACTAGGCTAGGTCCTGGGATTTGTGTCTTCCAGCCCAGTGCTCATCCAGCCACAGAGGTAGGGCCTCCAGGATCTCATCTCTGCCCTTTAAACTGTTTTCTTCCCACTTAGAAGCAGCTACAGAAGTGTGACATCCCAGCCCTGGGAGGCCTCACTGGACCTCATCTTTGACAAGGGAGGGCCTCATCTCTCCCCCTGTTGACCCCAGGGGCAAGTCCCCAGTAGCTCACCCCTTTAGAACATTCTTTTATATATATATATTGTTGATTTTTTATAGAGAGGAAGTGAGAGGGATAGAGAGTTAGAAACATCGACCAGCTGCCTCTTGCACACCCCCTACCGGGGATATGCCCGCAACCAAGGTACATGCCCTTGACCGGAATCGAACCCGGGACCCTTCAGTCCGCAGACCGATGCTCTACCACTGAGCCAAACCGGTTTCGGCTAGAACATTCTTCAATCCTGGTTGTGCTAGGAGGGCAGGCAAGGAAACTGTTCATGGAGGGAGAGAGCGCTGCTGGTCCAATGGAGAAGAGGAGGCCCCACCCTCAAGGAGTAGCTGATGCAATCAGGCACCCAGAAACAGGAACCTCAAATGCTGAGCTGGAGGGGCTAATTGCCCCAGATGCCCACTTATTCTTATCTTTAAGAATATCAGGGTCAAGCAACCACACTATTCCTTGCTGCTCTCTTCCCCTTATCTTTCCACCTCAAAAGTTTCTTATGTGAGCAAAAAGAAAAGATGATGGATAGGAAGTCAGTGATCACTCAATATCATTGTACTTTTTTTTCTCTCCAAACTAACAATTTCAGATGGTTGTTTAGGTATCATATAAACTGAACCTGAGGTAAAGTTTTATTAAAACAATTAAGAAAAAAAATGTCTAGGAGAGGTGGTACCAAGGAGCAGAGGGGCTCCTGGGAGCAGGGCTCAGAGTTAGGTGAGGTCTAGCCTCACTCACTCATCCATTCACACACACACACACACACACACACACACACACACACACACACACAGCATTTGCCCAGCACTCCTCCGTGCCAGGCCCTGTCTGAGTATCTATACCAGGGTCGAGGCAGGCAGACCTGGGTCACAGCCTCCACCTGCCAGGCTGGAGGGCAGACAAAAAGACTCAGAACAATGATAGGGGGCAAGCTGAACCATGGATGGGCAGCTCTGCTCATCAGGGTAGCCCCAGCCCTAACACATGCTGGCACAATCCAAACTGAAGGAAGGAACAGGAGTCTGTGGGATCAGAGAGGAGGGCGCCTGACTCAGGGTGAGGCTCAGGAGAAGCTTCCTGGAGGTGGTGGCCTTGGGCTGACTGTAAAGAAGAAAGAAACATTAGCGAGGTGTGGGAGAGAGGTGAGGGAAGAGGCAAGAGTGACAGGACTCACACAGAACAGGTTCTGAGAGATGTTTGGTGGTCCCTGGCCACCACAGTCCTGTCTGGCAATGAGATCCATGGTGTCTGGGCCTGTATCTTCCTCAATTCCTGGTAAATGAGACCCAGCCAAACTGAGGATGAGGATGGACTTCTGGAGGGATAGGTGGGTAAGGGTGAGGTTGATCCCTTCCCCTGAGGGAAGGCACTATGCCACCTACCTAGAAACATCTTCCTCCCATCCTCCATCATCCTGGCACTTAGGGGACAAGGTTACGGGGCCCGAGGCCTTCCTGCACTGCTCTGATCTTATTTGTCTCTGCGGAGACAGTGAGTCATTTGTACTCCGTAAAGAACCTCTCAGCCCCTGAACAGGTCCACCCTGTTCAGAAAGATTCAGTTATGACCATTTTACCAGTGGGGAAACTGAGGCCTCAGAGTTAAGTCACTTCTCTAAGGCCTCCCAGGAAATTTACATCAGGGTTGATTCCAGTGTTCACTTTGCCAATTACCAGCATCTTGAGTTATGGCAGCCAATTGGCTTGGAGGAGGTAAGAGGGAAATGGAAAAGAGATTGGACTTCAAGACCAGCCAGACAGGAAGGGTCCAGCTCAGCACAAGGAGTCTGGCCCAGGGGAACAGCAACATTATGGGGGTGAGCATCCACCCAACCCAAACCCTTGTTATTCCTAATACTCCCAGACCAACAGCGGGAAGTATAGAGGGTCTTGCAGTGCCCATGAGAAAGAAAGTGGTAGCCTTTGGTCTTTTTCCCTCCCTGCTGGCCTCTCCCCTGGAGTCGGAAATAGTGGCTTAGATCCAGAGTCTGGGTTGGAGCAGAATTCACATCCAGGTCCTAATTCCCAAGTTTAGTATTCTGCCTACTTGCCTTGCTACTCCCACCACCACTGCCAAAGTGGCAAGCAAAGGCTTCAGAAAGGTGGGATCCAGTGTCTCCTTAGGTGTGAATACTATGCATTGGCTGCCAGGGCATCCATTCCCCTACCCAGAACTGTGCTACACTCTTAGACAACCCAGGGGATAGAAAAGATACTGGAAATTTGGGGGACCTGGAGACTTCTTTTTCATTTGCCTTCTCTGGAAGGAAAAGGATGTTGGATGACAGAACCTAGTGCTGGGGGCTTGGGAGCTATACCAGCAGGGGTGGAGGGCATATGTGTTGGGGAGCCAAGGGTCTCTGGTAATATCCATTGAGAATGGAAATGCTATCTCAGAGGGGCCATGGCTGAACAACCTAGCTTCCATGTCTCCTGGCCTAGCTGGAGTAAAGGTGCTCAAAGGGTACCTTGGTACCTGGTAATATCTACTCTGCCCACCTGTGCCTGCCTCTGCCCCAAAGAGAGATGCCAGGCTCTTCCAAGAGGAGGTCTTCATGGCCACCTGGCTCTGATCAGCTGCTTTGCCTTCTATGGTTGGTGTTCATTGGCTACTTCACAAGCTGGCTGTGCCTCTCCACCAATTGGGGCTGACTTCTTGGCTCTACCTTAATGCCCAGGCTGGATCCAGGGTGGTACACAATGGCCTTGGCACCATCTTGGCCCCTGTAGGAAGCACAGGGGTCATACCAAACACACTCCTTCCAGCCCTTGGCAGCAAGGTTATCTCATCCAAGAGCCTGTCAAAAGAACTTGCCCTAGACCCTGCCCCTGACCTACGACTTCCTGGTTTGGCCCTGGCCCTTGTAAAGGACATTTCTTCCTCAGCAAATAGCACTGAGGCTGCCAAATTCTGTGATAAAAACTCAGGTTACAGAGCTGAATTGACACCAAATCTACCTTGGGGGTAGTCAAAGTCAAGTTGGGGCTGTTATTGGGGGTGAGGTAAGAGTGACGGACAAACTTATAAACAAACAAGTGTAATCAACTGTTACCAGATAGAAGCCCAAGGACAGGAAGAGGGTCAGGTCTCTGGAGGGAGGGGGATGGAGAGGGTGGTCAGGGGCATGCAAAGAATCTTGGACTATTTGCTCTGGAAGGAACACCAGGAAGCAGAGCCCAACACTCTCATTTTGTGGATGGGGAAACCGAGGCCCAGTAGGCAGAAGTTACTTGGCTGGGGGTTCCTAAGTGAGGTAGTAGCAGGTTCTTGGACCCTGATTTCCAGTCAGGGCCCTTTTGGAGGAACCAGGTGTCCTTTCTGGTTTCCTGTATCCAGAGCCTTGTGTCCTAACTCGTTTTTGGAAAAACATAGGTCATCTCTATCCAAAGGTCATGGTTACCCAAGAGGTGCCTGCGCAGGCCCAAGGAGCCAGGCACTGCCAGTCCTTCCTCCAGAGGCAGTGTGACCTCTAGGCTTAGAATGGGGTGGTTGAGATTTTCTCTCTCTATCTATCTCTATCTCTCTTGCATTTTTGTGAATCTAATGATGAACTTACGCTACCACACTTTTCCCTTCTCTTACACATCTTACCTACTAAAGGAGGAAGTGCCACTTTATTGGTAAGTGGACGTTAACCAAGAGGGACTAAAAAAAAAAAATCAGAACTTAAAAAAAAAAAAGAAAAGAGAGAAACAGAAAGACAGTAGGGCGCTACTGACAGCTCCACAGGTCTCTGCAGGGCCGGAAAACAAAGAAAGAAAACTGTTAACAGAAAAATGTCAGTTCCCCAGGAGTTCAGACATTGTTTTTGATTTTGGTATCTAATGACATTTGTGGATTTCGTTTTTTTATTTCTTTTTTTTTTTCTTCCCTTTCTTCGGTTTAGTTTTGAGTTCAGTTGTCCTGCCCCGCCCCCATCCCCATCTGTGTGCCGTGTGCCCCCTCCATCCCCTCACTCACCCCCACGCTGGGGGGCCTGGGCTGCTGGGCTGGCCCCAGTGGAGCCTCCCGGTGCCCACCCTCTCTCTTCTCTCTGCCGGGATCGTCCGTCCCTGGAGGGGAGCAATGCCAGCCCCTCCCCTCCCCGTGCCGTCCTGGAGCCCTCTCCCTGTCAGCTCCCGACCCCCACCGCTCCGTTCCTCTTGTGTTTTGCATGCTGAGAACCTTGCATGAGCTGCACTGTTGAGGCCAGAAGGTGAACACTCAGGAGAGGCAGAGGCAGGGCAGGCGCGGGGAACCGTGTGTGCGATGCTCCGGGACTGGCAGCCCCAGGCCGGAGCCAGGTGAAAGCCCTTTCTCCCTCTCTCCCCCCACCCCACCCACCCGCTCTCTCACCTCGATCTCTCCTTCCTTCTCTTCATCTATCCTCTCCTCTCTCTCCTCTTTTTCTCCGTTTTGTCTCTACTTCTCTCACTTGTCCCTGTCTGCCCTCACCCCGTCTCCTCTGCCTCTGCCCCTCTCTTCTGGCTTCTCCATCTCCTGTCTGTTCTGTCCTGCTCTGTCCCTCGGTCCCATCTCTCCTGTCTCTGTCACGCTCTCCGTCTCCTCCCTCCCACCCCCCACCCCCGTTCCCTCTCTGCCTCTCTCCCCGTCAGAAGCCCAGCTCGCCCTCGCCCAGGGTCGGCGACCAGGCGGAGGCCGGCGCAGCCCCGTCGCCCGCGCGGGGGAAGGAGAGCACGAGCCCGCGCTCGGCGCCATCGTCGCAGGGCCGAGGAGACCGCGCGGCCGGCGGGCAGGCCCGGCGGCGAAGGCGGCGGCGAAGGCGGCGGCGAAGGCGGCGCTCCAGGTCCCCCGCGGGCGCGCCCCGCCGCAGAGGCCGCCGGCGCGCCCGGCCCGCGCCGCCCCGGGGCCCGTCGCGCTCGCTCAGCAGGGGCCGCTCCAGCAGCGACTCGGGCGGAGGCGGGGCCCCTGGCCCCGGGCCGGAGCCTGGCTCCGGCGGGCACGGTAAACGGTGAGTCCCCAGGAGTGGAGGAGGCTCCCCTCCCGGCCCTGTCCCCGACCCCCACGGGACACCCACCTCCAGCGGGTGCTCCACCCTCACCGACCACGCCCCCTCCGCACACGCTGGGCTCCCCCTTCTGATCTCTCTCCTTCCTCCCACTAAGCCCTTCCCATCCCACCCCCTGATCTCTCTCCTCCCTCCATTTGGACCCCCCTGCACGGATCGCTCTTTCCTCTCTGTGCCCCTCCCCTTCTCTGGAGACCTCAATCCTGCCAGGAGCCTTCCACGAACGCATCCTGCCCTCAATAACCCCCTAAGCGTGAGTCCCTGCCCAACTGAGCCTCGTCCTCCGCTGAGCCCCCTTCTCCCTGGCTGAGTTCCCGGTGGCCGTTCCCCTCCTGCAGGGCCAAGGAGAGGCCCCCGCGCGCCCGCCCGGCCAGCGTCTCCCCGTCCCCGGGCGTGCACGGCCGGCACGGCGGCCCGGAGGGGAAGAGCTCGTCGCGCAGCCCGGGCCCCCACCCGCGCTCGTGGAGCTCCAGCCGCTCGCCCTCCAAATCCCGGTCGCGCTCGGCGGAGAGGAGGGTCCGCAGCCCCACCCGCTCGCCGTCGCCCAAGAAACCTCTGGGCCGGTGAGTGCGGGCGGGGCGGGGTGGAGGAGGGAAGGATGGCAGCCGGGGAGAGGGAGGCCCGGGCGCCCTCGCGCGGCGGCGGCGCTCACCTCGGCCCGGCCTCGCAGGGACAAGGACGGCGAGGGCCGCGCGAGGCACGGCGAGGCCGACACCGCCCGCGCGCGGCGCCGCTCCCGCAGCTATTCGCCCATCCGCAAGCGGCGCCGGGACTCGCCCAGCTTCATGGAGCCGCGGCGCATCACCAGGTAGGAAGGGGCCAGGGGACCAGCCGGGGACCTAAGGGATGAAGCCCTCCTGGAGGGACCGACTGAGCCTAGGGCAGGGAGGGGAGAAGGCTGAAGGAGAGGGGGTGGGGGTTCAGTAGAGGGAAGAGGGCTCTGAGAGCAGAGAGGCTAGACCTGGTGGTGCTGGGGAGGGGGTGGACTCAGACAGAGGTGACAGGTCACTGAGGGGAGGAAGGCCTCAAGAAGGGAAGGGTCCCCCATTGGGGCCTGAAGGCCCATGGAGGCAAGTGGGATTTGCACTTGGGTCTTGGTGGACAGAGACAAACCTGAAATTAAGTTCTGAAGATTCCAGCCAAACCTCCCTACATTCATCTCCTGGCAATGATGGGAGGAGCCCACCATTGCCAAGAGCCCATCATTGCTCTACATGCGGGGAGCCCCACCTTCCCTCCCTCCCTCCCTCCATTCATCTCCTGGCAATGATGTCTCCTTTTCTCCTTCATCTCAAGGTCCAGCCTGCTGCGTGGCCTGTGGCCAGCCTGGGGGCCAAGGGGACCCCCTCTCCACAGGCTGCAGGGGAGATGCCCATGTGAGCTGGTCTGGCTCTGTTCAGCTGTCTGTCTGCCTCTCCTTTTCTCACTAACCTCACTGCTTACCTTCCAGCCCCCTGGGGAATTTGGAGGAGGGGGCACCAGCAGCCTGGTTTCTGGGGCAGCTGTGGGAGGAACCCTCCTTCTTACTTTCCCCACACAGTCCAGGGGGGCTGTGCCATGATCAGAGTTTCTCTGCCAGGACTGGAGGGTCTGGGCCTGGGTCTCCCGGTGAGCCAATGTCTGTGTTTGCAGAAATCACCCAGAAGTCCTCAATCCCTAATAGGGGGTAGAAGGCCACGGGCAAAATTCTGAGCCCAGCTCTGCCCCAGCCTTACTGGGAAGCCTTGGGAGGTTGCTGGGCCTCTCTGGGTCCCTGTTCTCATGTCCAAGCAATAGTAGGCATCCGTTCAGCTCTCACATGGTCAGGTTCTCAAACAGGCCTTTCCTAGGCCTTGATGATCACATTGTCTCCTCCCTTCACCCCAGAGCTAAAGGCCAGACCACAAGGTTTGGGACACCTCCAGACATAAGAGGGAGGTCCTAAGATGCCAGGCTCCCTCCCACACCTCCCACCTGGCACCCCTCAGCCCCTCTCCCAGGCTGCCTCCTCCTCCCACTAACTACACCTGTTTTCTTCCTTAGAATTAACCCAGTGCGATGGGGCTTCGCCGCCCCCTTAACAACTCTCTTTTCTTTTCTCTGGGTCACGGTCTCCTGGCTTCAAACTAACTCCAGGGCTGGTGGGAGGTAGCTGAGTGAGGAGAGGGGGCCAGTGGGCCTGGGCCAGGCTGTGGGCATGGGCAGCAGTGGCCAGGGGTCTCTTCCTGTTCCCTTCACATGACCTGAAAACCCCAAGTCCTCCATTCTGTGGGGATCAGAGGAGCAAAGCTGGGCCGTATCCACAAACCCTTCCATGCACAGAAGCCACTGCTTAGCTCGGTTGATGTGAATGGTCCATATATAATATTTAATATTTATTGAGCACCTACTCAGGTCTAGCTGAGATTCGGGTTCCCTTCCCCTGCTGACAAGTGAGGAAAAACAAAATGATCAACATGAAATTGGCAAGTGACCCCTGACTGTCCAATCCTGTTGGAGCGGGAGAGGGGGCACCTGAGGCAGCAGAACCCTGGCCACTGCTGGGAGGGGCTCCAGGCCCAAGTGAGGGCCCTGGATGGTCTGTAATCGTTTTTTTCCTCCTGGCAGTGCCCGAAAGCGGCCCATCCCCTACTACCGGCCCAGCCCCTCCTCCTCCTCCTCCAGCTGCCTGAGCAGTGACTACTCAAGCCGGAGCCCCAGCCGGAGCCCCAGCCCCGGCCACAGCCACGGAAGCTACAGCAGCCGAAGTGGAGGGACCCGAAGCCACACGCGCAGCCCCTCCCGGACCCCCAGTCCCAGTTACCACAGCCGGAGCAGCTCAGAAAGTGGCGGCTTCTGAGCCCATACAAACCCCGATTGGTGCCCCCTGGCACAGAGAGAGGCGAGGGCTCAGGCCCCAGGATCCATGGGGGGCATACACCCTATTGCTACAGAGAGGTCCCAGGGCCAGGGAAGACCTTGAGGGTAGGTGCCCTGCAGACAAGGAGGAGCTGGGTTCTGCTGCTTCTAGAGGGTCCCTACCCCCACCTTCTGCCCTCCCACCATGTCCAGGGAACAAAAGAGCCTTTTCGAACACAGGGATCACCCTGCCCCCCTACCTGCTTGATGCCAGCTCACCAGGCTTGGGGATCTCAGCTCAGTGGACCCAGGGACATCTCTGAAGGTGCCAATCCTGGGAGCCTCCCCTACCCCACTCCGCAGGGCCCTTGGATCCTCTCCATCACTAGGCAGGCAAGGAGGTGGGACAGCAAGCAGGATATAAGTTAGAAAGAAGAATGGTCTGACCCTTGGTATGTCACCATCCAGGCCCAGGAGTGTCAGGAAGAGCCAGGGAGCTCAGTCTCAGTCCCACCTTTTCTCTCCAGGCCAGTCTCTCCCCTTCAGGCCTCACCTCATTCCCTGGTCCAAGGCTACCCAAGCCAGGCCTTGTGCATGACAAGAGGTGGGACATACAGACCACAACGGAATCTGACCCTGAGATGAAAAGGGGCTCAGGTCAGGAGGTGGACGAGAGAAGGAGTGGATGGAAGAAGAGCCTGTGAGAAGGGAGAAGCAATGCAGCCTAATGACTGAGCAGGCCCTGGTATTCTCATGTGCCCCTTGTCTGAGTCACAGGCACAGGATAGCGCTTCAGGGCCTGCCCACAGGAGCATTCCTCCTCAGGGTTTGCTGAGGAGGTGGCCAGCCAAGGCTTCCCAGAGAAGGGTGCTATAGCCCTTGGTAGAAAGGGTAGGATCTCTACTGAGGGCCTTGGCCTGGGGCAATGACAGGAAGCAGTGGCCCCCAGCCCTCTTCTGCTGCTCCCAGCCCCCTCCTCCTGGGGCCCTCAGGGATCTAATGAAGTCTTCCTTGGCCCAATAGGGCAGACGCCCTGGGCTCTGTTGGGGGGAGGGGTCTGGGGTCTGGTCCGGGTTCCCCTCTCTCTATTTCCCACTTCCTTCCCCCCCCACCCCTCCCACCCCCGCGGTGCGGATGAAACTTGGAACTAATAAAATACTCAGTGCCCAAAGGGCAGGTGGTGAGGCCAGGCCTCTGTGGATTTGGGAACCTGGAGAGTGAGGGGAGGGCATGGGGTACTGGAGTCCTTCCCACTGAGAAATGAGAGAGGTTCAAACTCCTGGGGACCCAGAGAGAAGAACTGGCACCAAGGAACCAGCGCCCACCACATCCATCCCCCTGTGCAGGTGCCTGAGTCTGCAGAGCTGGCAGCTTATGAGGAGGAAAATGGGGACCCAAGATGATCACTCCCATGCCCTGAACCCCCATCTAGCTTCAGCAGTGGGTGGGGGTGGGACAGAGGAGGAGGCTGGGCCAATACACAGGACCTTCCCTATATGTGGAATGTTTCAGAATGGCTAGAACACAGTTTGGAGTAACATGTGGCTGTGAATCCAGGCACCCTAGGATGGGGCCTGGAAAAGGAGTTTTTTTTCTTTTAACAGTTACATTCTATTTCTTTTATTGAAATCTAAACAAATATACGCACACACACACACCCTCCTCCTTTTCCTTCTCCTCCCCTTCTTCTTCCTTCTTTTCTCTTAGAGTGGCGGGTTTTAACCTGGTTTTGAATCTACTCTTCTTGGGGAACATGATGAAGGTCGGGAAGCCTTTTCTCAGCAGGTGTGCGCATGCCCACAATTCAGCATGCAGTTTGAGATCACGCAAACACTGCAAGCCTTGAGGGCCTCCTGGTCCACCGCTGCTGAGGAAGCATACGACACGTCCACAGCTCCGACCTGTGTGCCCCATGAGATGGATGTCCTTGGTCTAGTCTGGTCCCCAGAACAGAGGGTCATGCTCCTTGAAGCCTATGGCTGTGTCAGCACATGACCTCCTCCAGGTCCTTTTCCTTCCTGCTAGAAGGGGCACCTGAGGAGGTGGCTGTTTCTGATCTGAGAAAGCTGTTCAAAGAAGCACCTGTCTCTTTAACCCTCAGGCACACTCTAGGGGCTCCAGGGAGATGTCAGCTCCTGGGCAGGGGAGCATAAAACACAAAGGTGGTCATGAAAGTTTAGCCTGTCTCACACTGAGCCCATTCCTGCTCCCACTCCATGATTCCATTTCTTCATTGCTCAGCGTGAAGCCTCCTCCCGGCACCCCACAGCTAGGTCCTGTTTGAAACATGAGACAGAGGGGAGAGGGAGGGAGACCAGCACACAGGCTTTATTAGAGGAGAAGACCCCTGCCGGGCCACCTTCCAAAGGGAGAAAGAACACGTTTTTTGAGGGGAGGAAAGGGAAGGGACGGTGCTTAGGGCACTCAGCACACGCTGATTGGTGGTTTCAGATAAGGCACATGATTAGGGACTTAGGAATCAGGGGCTTAGGGTATTTGGCAGGTGCTGATTGGTGGTTCAATGTACAGTCCATATAAGGTGCCTGGTTAGGTGCTCAGGAATGTTTGGACTGCAGGTACAGGTTACGTCATACTCCATCCATCAGTTGGGGGAAGGGAGGACCCATCATTTTCCTATTGTTTTTCTGCAGCTGGACAGGGCTTTCCTAGGTCCTGTTTTCCTATTGGTTCCCTGCAGATGGTACCACTTTCCCCAGATGGTACCACTTCTTTCCTTTCTGCCCCACCTCCATTCCTGGCCCAACAATCCTACGCTTCTCACTAGCACCCCTCCCGTATCCATCTCTTGCCCTCTCCCACCCATCCTGCTCTATCTAAAATGCAAATCTAATCTTTCATTCATTCATCCCACACATACTTATTGAAAACCTGCTGTGTGCCACACAGTCCCTGGCTCCGAGGACATAGTATGAATTAATGAATCAGAGCTTCCTGCCCTGTGGACCCTGCATCCTGTGACCGAGGCCACCAGCTCGTAGGACTTGGAAGGCTTCTGAATGGCTCTGCCTTGAACAGCAATCCTTTCCTCCTGCTAGCCCTCCAACCTCCTCTCCCACCACTGCCCTTTATTTACTGCAGTACACCCCAGTTCATCTGACCCTCCGCCCTGGGCCCCCCAAGAATGCCCCTTCAGCTCAGTTCAGCTGCCTCCTACTCTGAAGAGATTCTGTTCCCCCGCTGTGGTGGCCACTCCTGCCTCTGAGTTCCTCGGGTGTTGGGTTTGTTCCTGACTTTTAGAGCTTTACAGTCTTGTTCCATTTATTTGTTGGCGAGTTACTCCCCCCATAAATCTGTGAGCTTCTGGAGCCCAGCCTCGCTTTATTGGCCTCTGCTCCCCCTCCACAGCCTTGTGAAATAGTTGCCCTTGAAATGTTTGTGGAATGAGTGAACAAAGGGGCCATGCAGTGAGCAGTTCCAGAAACCCTGGGGGCAGGCAGCGGCCCAAAGGCAAGGTGTGGTGGCCGCAGAAGACACTAGAGGGCGGCAGAGAGGATAGGCTGCCGGTTAGGATCCGCGGGGAGGGGCACAAAACAGGAGAGCAGCCTGGGGGAAGGTCCTCGTTTGCCCGGAAGCTTGAACTCACGTCCTCCACGCCCTCACTGGCTATTTGAGAAAGTCTGTTCCCTAGGAAAAGATGCGGAGGGCACCAGGGTACCAAACCTTGTCCCTCCCACTGACGGAGGGGTCAGCCTCTGCTCTGTACCTTGTAAAAAGAGAAAAATACTGCCAAGAAGGCAGGCAGGCAGGAAAACAGGAAACTCCAATTCTCCACTGGTAACAAGGAAGGGGAAATGGGATGGGGGTGGGGGAACCTTCCCAGGATGTGAGCCTTTGGGATGCTGTAGGTTCTCTCCTGGTCTCTCTCTCCACAGATGGGAGCCTGAGGGACACCTGAACCCACCTCCCACCCCACCCCCATTTTACCCTCCCAATACACTCAGCCCCTCATCAGCCCCCCCAAAAACACACACATTTTCCCCTCCTAACACACTCAACAACCTGGCAGCTGGACAGGGCTTTCCTATGTCCTGTTTTCCTATTGGCTTCCTGCAGCCCCAGACACAGGGTAGCAAGTCACAAGTGCACATGCCCGGTTTGGGAGTCCCAGCTGACAACCACCGCCCCTCTCCCACCTCCCCACCCCCATTCCCTGCCTCTCAAATGATCTTGGAAGCTCCCTGGCCTCTTACCAGTCTCTCTCAGCTGAAAGCATATTCAACAAACTGGTCCTATCACCAGGCGCTTTCCCTTCCTTCTCCTCACTGGTCCCCCTCTGCCTGAGAAAGTCTCTCAGGACACGTAAGACATGGGGGTGCTTCAGCTGTAGGGACTCCCACCTCCACGGATGTCACATCTCCACATCCTCCCTCACCTGCTCCCTACACTCACGCATACACACCCCTCCCGAAGCCTTAGAGGGCAGAGCAGGCAGTGTAGGGAACCTGGGGGAAGGGGGGAGTCAAAGAGAAACTGTTGATTCATGGTGCTGGAAGGAGTCTTAGAGAACATCCAGTCCAATGGTCTCATAGCACAGATGAAGAAAATGAGTCATTGGAGCCAGCCGCTGGCTAAGGTCCCAGAGTCAGGTCCCCAGACTCCCAAGCTAGACAGATTATTTTTGCTGAACAGCAGGGCATTTGGGGCCAGAGGATGGGTCCCTTCCACCTGGCCCCTCCTTGCCACCCCTTCAGTGGGATGGGGGTGAAGTGATCCCAAGGCCAGCCAGAACCTGAGGCCTAGTGGGTGGGCAGGCTGGAGGGTCAGTGTCTAGACGCTTCCAGAAAGACCTGGTGTTCCCCCACCCCATGTGCTCTAATTACTGCTGCTCACATTTTCAATTTCCAGCAGGAGCAGGCTCAGCAACAAGCGAGATGTGTCAGCTGTCCGGCCTCTCCAGGGAGCTCTCTCAGCTGCTTGAAGCCTCTCGAACTTTCTCTGAGGTTGTGTCAGGGAAAGAGGAGCTGGCTCAGCTACAGTTGGCAAATACCAGCCAAGGGTGTGGCTATTGTGCCTAAGCCCTCAGGCACCGTGCCAGGCTGGGAGGCAGGTCTTGGGGTTGCTGCAGAATATCCCAGATTTTGGGGCTATGGATGCAAGGAGGGCCCCCTCCAATTAAGTAACCCCAGACCCTACAGTGCCCATTTTCCTTCACTTTCCCCTCCCAGTGGCTTCTGGGAAATCCCTAGGGGGTGGACTTAACTGTCCTCTTAATCTCAGAAAAACTACCCCTGGCAGTTCAGTGACTGGAATGCTAGAGCAGATAATTGTCAAAGACCATTTGGGCAGGTGGGCAAGTGGAAGCTGACATTCAGCCCTTGTTCCTCTTGCCAAGTCCGGTGCCTGGGTTCAGGGTGCAGCCTTCTGGAGGAAGAGCATTTTGGTCAGGGATGGAGGCACCCCAGAGAGTCTGGCCCAACGCTCCCTGTTCTGATAGGCAATCCTTGCTGAAAACAGCACCCAGCTCCCGGGAGCCCACAGCACCCCCGGGACTGCCTGGCAGTCTCTCCTCGGCAGGACTGACTTCCAATCTCTCGTACCCCCTTCCAGCTTTGTGACCTTGGGCAGTTCTGACCCTCAGTTTCCTCATCTCAATAAATGAGACTCTGATAAGATACTTGGACAGGCTATAATGCTCATGCAACTGGGTAATTCTCATTAGTCTAAGTCTCAATACCCAAAACTAAAGGCCCTCTTTCCTTAACAATGATGAACACAGGAGCACCAGGCATTTCACATGCATTCTTTGCATTTGAGATTCACCACAATCCTGCAAGACGAGTGCATTGTTAGCCACATTTTGCAGATGGAGACATGTGGGCTTGGAGAGGTCACCTGGCCAGAGAACAGCAGCACCCAGACTCAAGCCCAGCCTTGTTTGACCCCAAAACCCAGTTTTTCCCATACCCCACCCCCTCTTACCATGACCCAGAGCTACCCATGTCCCCTCCCTTGTGACTGGCAGGGTGACCCAAGTCCCTCAGAACTGGCTCATTCTGCCTCCCACCTGCTGTGGGCAGAGTGCTCGTGTTGCACTTCAGGTTGCACAACTTCCCCTAGCTGGGGCGGCAGGGATGAGTCCTCCCTGCCTAGCTTCAGACAAGATGAAGGGAGCTTGTGTCTACAAAAAATGCCCCCACCCAGAGCGTGGCTGGGCCTGGCAGGACCACACTTGAAAGCACCCATGACTACACCTGACAGCTCCCTCAAGGGTGGGGCACCTGGGCTCCAGTCTGGACCAAGGTGGGCAGGCACGGGCAGATGAGGGACCTCCCTGGCTCCTGACCTCACCCTAACTTTATGGGGCTGGGAGTGCCAAGGAGAGAAAGCCTGGGGCTTCTTGAAGCTGAGACCCTTGGGGGGTATGGCTAGATTCACTGGGCAGGATCCAGCAAGGGAGATGGGGCAGAGGGTAGGGGTATTGTCTGCCTCCCACCCTTGGTTCAATCAAAGCCCAGGTGCTCAGAGGTCTTTCCAGAGGTGACCTCAGATTTGTGTGGCCCTGTCCCAGCTCTTCCCTGATGGACAGCAGAGGGGTAAGAAGGAAAGGCATCCAGGAGCTCTCTCTTTTGAAGAGGAAACTGAGGCTTAGAGGGGGCATGAGACTTGTTACTCCTTGTTCATCAAGGTAAGTGGCCTGGAGTCTGGCTTCCAGCCCCTCAGTGTCCTGGGCAGAACAAGGCCTCCTATGGAACTTGTTAGCAGGGTGGGCTTCAGAAAGAGAGGGGGTAGGGAAACTCCAAGATAAGAGCCCTAAGCAGTAGCAGCAAGAGGCTTACTTTGCTAAGTGTCTTACAGGAGACAGCAGGACAGTCACTCAACCTCAGTCTCCTCATTTAAAAGATAATAGGACATAGTTTTGAGAGGGAAGGCTGGGCCAGGAAATGCCTGGGAAGGCAGGAAAGAGAGAATGTTAGGGTTACAGCTGGAGCATAGGGGCACCAATCTCTCCCCAGAGGGGACTGGATCCCATAGGTGGTTAGGTAGGAGGTGGAGTCAAGGTACAGGCCTCAGGTAATGAGCAAGATTTAGCAAACTGTACCATCTGGAGTCCCCTCCCCCTTTGTACTGTGGGAATCAAAAACAAAAAGGGCTTTGTGCTTATAATTTGCAAAATGAGAAACTGAGGCTTAGAGAGAGAAGGGCCTTCTCATTGACAGTAAGTCAATGGCAGAGCCCAGACTAGACTCAAGGTTGCTGCATTTCAGGTTCCCTGTCCTCAGGGGAAAATAGATTGTATAGAGCAAGAGCAGAGCGGAATTTCTGAGCACCTTTGACAATCCAATATGGAGTCACTGTCAGCTAAGACTGAGGTATGTCAAAACTGAGGTAATGGGAACGCCCTTAGGAGGGGCCCAGAAGGCGCAACGCCACAAGTCCGGACAGTTAGAAAAGGATTCCATTTGGACACCGATGTGAGTGAGACCTCTACCCCTGGTGACCTATAAGAATTCAGAGTTCCGCCGGGACCGGTTTGGCTCAATGGATAGAGCGTCGGCTTGGGGACTGAAAGGTCCCGGGTTCGATTCCGGTCAAGGGCATGTACCTTGGTTGCGGGCATATCCCCAGTAGGGGGTGTGCAAGAGGCAGCTGATCGATGACTCTCTCTCATCGATGTTTCTAACTCTCTATCTCTCTCCCTTCCTCTCTGTACAAAATAAATAAAATATGGAAAAAAAATTAAAATTAAAAAAAAAAAAAAAAGAATTCAGAGTTCCTTCTACCTCAAGCTTGGCTCTACCAAGGTCATGCTTGGATCCCTGCCAGACTTCTACTCCACCAGATGCCTGCCACCACGGTAGCCCCCTGTTTGGAGATGGAGGCCTGCCTCTCCTCCTGGAGACTCCCCCAGTGACGGAGACTTTGCTCTGCTCATGTAACCCCACCTCCTCTCTTTGTGTAACCTGCGTGTGAGTCTGTTGGCTTATTGGGGAGGTCTCCCCTAATGAATGTGGCATTGTGGAAAGAACCTGGCATTGTGTGTAACTCCTCTGAGGGTTACTCACCACTTAGATATAATGTGGAGATTGACAATAACCTTCCTCCTGACCTCCCACCCTCAGCACTGGACCTGGGGTTTCTCATCTGGGCCAGCCTGGGGACAGGGAGGAAATGGTCAGACCCATACATGCCTCTGCCTCTGCAACAGGGATAGGTACACACTCTCCTTGCTCCTCCCTCTCTTCAATTCCATGTAGATAATAACAATAATTAGCAAGTATCCTGTACCAGGCCCTGGGCTAAAAGTCTTGTTCGCATGAAGTCATTGAATCCTCACATCAATCCAATGATGTAAGTATCATCATCACCATGATCATCTCCATTTTCCAGACGGGGAAACAGGCCCAAGGAGTCTCACTTGCACAAGTCTTCCATTAATGGCAGAACCAGGATTTGAACTCAGGCAGTCTGGTTCCATTGCCCACACTCCTAAAAACCACACCACTCTGCTTCTTAAAACAATATATCCCAGATAACTGTGGTTCAGATTTGGGCTCTGCTGCTTCCTAGTTGTGTGGCCTGGGACAAGTAGCTCAACTTCTCTCATCTTGATCCACAGGCAGTGGCCCCGTGCTTTAGCGCCCAGGCCTGTGAGTGTCCAGCAGTGGGCACTGCATCAGCATCAGCAGTCCAGTTACTTGTTTTTTGGGTTGCTTTTTTTTAACGTGAGAAGGTTCCAGATGTGGGCAGAACCTTCCTCGCCCCGCCCCTGCCCCGGTATGCAGCGGGAGGGGCTGCCCGCACTAGTCATGTCCATTAATAGAGACCTGAAGCACCTCCTGCTAAAAATACCCGGCTGAAGCCCTTTAAAAGCGCTGCTGGCTCCAGCCCGGGACAGTTCTCCGGGCTTCAGCCGAGACGCGCAGAAAGAACCCAAGAACCCAGAACCGAGCCAGCATGACCGAGCGCCGCGTGCCCTTCTCGCTCCTGCGGAGCCCCAGCTGGGACCCTTTCCGTGACTGGTATCCGGTCCACCACCGCCTCTTCGAGCAGGCCTTCGGCATGCCGCGGCTGCCCGAGGAGTGGTCGCAGAGTTTCAGCCACAGCGGCTGGCCGGGCTACGTGCGCCCGCTCCCCGCGGCCGCGGTCGAGGGCGTCCCGGCGGTGGCCGCGCCCGCCTACAGCCGCGCGCTCAGCCGACAGCTCAGCAGCGGCATCTCCGAGATCCAGCACACGCCCGACCGCTGGCGCGTGTCCCTGGACGTCAACCACTTCGCCCCCGAGGAGCTGACGATCAAGACCAAGGAAGGCGTGGTGGAGATCAGTGGTGAGAACCCCACCCCCAACCCGGGCCCTGCGGGGATTAAGTTGCGGGGCGCGGAGCCTGGAGAGTGAAAAATTAGCCTCCTGTTAGCCGCCTGTGCCCTCTTCTCCGGAATGCGGGATGAGGATAGCTCCTAAAGGAACTTTTGGCCTTAAAAACAAAACAAAACAAAAAAAAGACCAACACTCTTAAAGGAAGATATGCCCCCCCAGCCCCACCCCCAAGTATCCAGGTCCTCCGGAGCAGTCCCTGCCTCTTTCCCGGTCCGGTCCGTGGAGGGGGCGTGTGCGCCCGGCAAATGGAACTTTGCAGAAGTCTATGGAGGCCTGGGACAGTCTGGGGGCCCCCAAAACTCTCCACCAGTTTGGGTCGGCCCTGAGACCCGGCCACTAGGTGGGGCGTGTTTGGATGTAGGCTAGCTGAGAGGCGGTCCCTCCCTCACCCTCTGATCTCCTTCCCTTCCCTTCCCCCAGGCAAGCACGAAGAGAGACAGGATGAACATGGCTACATTTCCCGGTGCTTCACTCGAAAATACACGTGAGTTTGGGCACCGAGTGGTGGTGGTGGTGGGAGGGGGGGGATACGGTGACTCTCCCGTGTGTGACTCTTGGCCTCCTTTTCTGCACGTCCAGGCTTCCCCCTGGTGTGGACCCCACCCTGGTGTCTTCTTCCCTGTCCCCCGAGGGCACACTCACTGTGGAGGCCCCGATGCCCAAGCCAGCCAACCAGTCATCGGAAATCACCATCCCTGTCACCTTCGAGGCTCGTGCCCAGCTTGGGGGCCCAGAAGCTGGGAAGTCCGAGCAATCTGGAGCCAAATAAAGACCTTTGCCCGCACCCCCTTCAAACCCTGCATTAGCAATCACTGGCCATCCCCACCTGTCAGTCTGTATGCTCTTTTGATACGTTTATGTTCTGTTTTTCTCAAATAAAGTTCAAAGCAACTGCCTGCCATTGCCTCAGACCCCGGTGTGTGTGTAGGCCTAGGAGTTGGTGCTGTTTGCTGGCTCACACATTCCTCATAAGTGCTGAGGGCCTGCAGTGTACAAGCCCCATGCTGGGCCCTGTGGGTACAATGGTGTCCATCACAGGGCACAACCCTGCTCTCCAGCCCTGTGTCCATTAAAAGAGAGGTTATGATTGTAACCAGCAATTAAATCTCTAAAAGCCAGGTGTAGGAGCCAGGGCTGGGAGGCTCCTGGCCTAGGCTTGGGTACTCAGGGACACTTAGCTGGGGTTAGGTAGATGGGGGCAGCAGTTCCCCTGGGGAGGGGAACTTCCTGGGAGCTCAGAGTCGATACTGACTTTATCATGACTTTATTATTCTCTTGGAAAGGGACAGGGCCATTTAGATGGTGTGGGAGATGTGGTGGTGACTCAGGTGACTTTCTGAGGGGAGGTGGGACGATTCAGAATACCCATTCCCCATCCCCACTAGCCCAGGCAGGGGCCTGGGCCTGAGGGTGTCCTCTAGAGATTGAGGCCTAGGTTTTGATGGGAGAGAGGCAAAGACCTTGACAGAAAGGTTAGTTAGTAGCTCCAGGAGGGCCTACCTTGACTGGGCCAGGCAGGAACAGTCACACCTACCTTGGCCTTCTCCTCTGTCTGCCCTTGCCAAGCCCACTACCCTCTTATCTGGCCCAAGGAGGGTTCTGAGGGACCTGGGGGAGGGAAAAAGCAGGCTGGGGCTTTGGAGCCCTGTCTCAAGTCCTCAAGAGCTTGAAAGGCCCCACACCATCTCCACAGATGAGGAACCAGAGCCTGAGGCAAGATATCCCTGCAGTCTTTTCTAAGACTTACTTTCACCGGTGCTTGAGCGGGCAGAGCAGCATCCCACAGGGAAGAGCCTGGACACACATGTGTCCATGCACATGAGACCCCTGACACTGCCCAGCTTCCTAATGTTCCATCTCTAGTGTAAGCTCCCTGTTGGGATACCATAAGACGGAGGCAGGCATAAGGCCAAAGCAGGTCTCAGCCCTCAGAGGCTTCACCAAACCTGGAGGGAAGCCAACAGGGAAATAAACACATAGACCAAAGGATTGTGTTGGCCCAGCTGGCAGCACAGATCTGGGCCTGAAGGCCAGGGCACTACCCAGTCTACCCACCCTTCCACCTTCCACTCATTTCCTGAGCTTCAGTCTCCTAAATCTGCCACCCTCTTTCCCAGACACGCACAGACCACATCGCTGATGTCTCCTGGACACCTTCTACAATCCCCTGGCTACAACGCAGAGAGCCTGTCTAGTTCTCACCCTTGCTCAGATCACCAGCTCCCTTGTGGTTGGCACGGGGGTGGCCCTAGCCTCCACAGGTGTGGCTGCATCCTCCTGCCTTGTCAGAGAGAGTTTCCAGCTACTCCACCAATGCCCTTGAAGCGTGGGAAAGCTGATGCCAAGCCTTTGTCAAGCAATAATCAGCCCGGGGAAAAGATGTGGTTAGTCCTGCCTAACTGGGCACAGCAAACCTCAAAAGAAGGGAAGAAACTTGCCCTAGTCCACACAGCTAGTGCAGGAGGGGTGGTGGGCATCTGTGTGGCCATATGGAGGGGAGAGCAGGTTAGCTCAGATAGGAAGATGGGGGGCTGAGATTCCAGAGCTTAAAGTACTGCAAATGAGGGTCGGTGGGACCTCAGGAGGCAGAGGACAGGGATGCAGTGGAGCCCAAGGGCCACAGCTGTCCAAGGGAGCCAGGCTGCAAAATGACCGGGAGAGAGCGTCTAGGGGGTCTCAGACCCAGAGTCCAGAGCCATGGTCTGTGGCAGGCAGGGGTCAGCACCTGGGGTGCTGTCAGTGCTATAGGAATGGGGTCTAACAGCAGCAGCTTTGAAGTCCCCAGGGTCTAAGCCAGAGGTTGGCAAACCACAGCTCGACAGCCACATGCAGCTCTCGAGCCGCGGTTTGCCGCTCTGTTGACTATGAGTTTGCCAACCACTGACCTAGACTATCGATTTCAATAATGACAGGTTGTTGTTGTTCCTTGTGATTAAACCCCTATCCCAGTGGTCCGCAAACTCATTCGTCAACAGAGCGGCAAACCGCGGCTCGAGAGCTGCATGTGGCTCGTGAGCCGCAGCTTGCCGACCACTGGTCTAGGCCATAATCTGGCATACTGCTGAGCCACGGTATAGGTGGGAGGGAAGGAATTCACTCCCTGTGAAGGAAGCAGGCCCCAGTCTCCATGGGAAACTACAGTAGGAAACTGAGGGCGATGCCCTGTAGCCTGCCCAGGCCACATGAGGGACAGAGGTCAAGGAGATCTGAAGTGGGCTGGCCCTATGCCCAGAGCTCAGCTTGGAAGATGTGGAGTCTGAGGCAGCACCTCTGGCAGAGGAGATGGGCCCGCTGGCTCAGGCCTGGGGGCCTCCATGGGGAGGGGCTGGCACTAGGCTGTGGGAGACATAGTGAGTCCCTGCACTCCTGCTGTGACGCAGCAGCAGTTCCAAGCCTCTCCGGGCATTTTCCTAATTTCCAATGGGTCCTAAGGCTTCTGATGTTCTTCTAGTCTGCAGACTCGGATATTGCCCTTGATTTGATGAATGTAGCATCTGGGCCTCTCTGCTCAGCCAAAGGGTTTCTGAGGGGCCATACTCCATGCTCCAGGCTGATGACAAAGGCTCTCTTGAGGCCCTCAAGTCCCTGTGGCTGCTGGTCACCGCTGGCTGGTGCAGTCTCCCCTAGGGATCTGTAGAGCACAGAAGCCTTCCCCTGTCCCAGGCTGATCCCCAGGTCTCTCCTTTTCTGTATCCCTCCCAGTTGGGAAATCTGCTCTCCCTGTGGGCACCTCCTCTGGCCCAGCACACAGCCAAGTCCCTGCTCTCAAGGGGGCAAGTGTAGGAAACAGCTCTGTGACAAGCAGCATCACAGAGAGGCTGGCTGGGACAGGCTGCGGAGTCTCAGTGGAGTGGGGAAAAGGGATTTCCAGAAGTGACCCTTGTGCCATACGCCAGGGGGAATATCATGGGCAAAGGCTGGACGGCGAGTGCATTCAGGTTGGAGAAGCAGCAAGTAAAGGAGAAAGAGAGGGCACATAAGGGAGGTGATGGGGCCCTGAAGGCCATGCTTTGTAGGTTATGGAGTCAGGAATTGGTTTAAGCATCCTTGCCTTATAAGCAGTTTCCAGGTCTTACAGGAGAATGTCCTGTAAGGAGCCAGCCAAAAGGCAAGGGGCAATGTGCTGCTGAGATGTAATGGATCTGTAATGCCAGGAAGAGAGGGAAAGAGAACCAGGTGCCTGGATGTAGTGTGGGGTGACAGTCGGAGATAGAGGTATGAGGAGTGGGCAGGGGAAGAAGGGGATCTGCTGAGACCATGGTTCATTACCTGGGGCTTGCTGACTTCATTGCCTCTGTAAGGTCGAGCAGACCCCAGACCTTGGCCAGATATAATTTGTCTCCAGATATAATTATTTTCCCTGCTACAGACTGCTCTCTGGAGAGGGTGGGGTGGTAGGCAAAAGTTACCCAAAGGACACCAGTTCTGAGTCTGAATGGATTGGCCAGAGAACATTTGTGATGGGGGCGGGACAACCAAGGGATAAAGGAGATGAGGGTCAGGCAGGACTGGAACCCTTGGCCAGAAACTGGCCACTGGGTTAGAGAGACAGTAGACCCTTGGTTTTCTAGAGGCCACCCAAGCTCTCCCCTCCCCTGGCAGAGCCCAGGGCAGGGCAAAAATCAGGCTGGCCAGGGTCCTATCTGCTGGCCTTACCTTAGACTCCCTGCACCCCACCTCCACATGCACATAGTGGGACCTAGAAGTTTGGGACATCCCCAAAGCTTAGGGCTTGGCCCCAGGCCCAGATTTGCACAGCAGCAAGGAGCTGCTAGCCCAGGACCAAACCAGGAAGGAGAGGGAGGAAGCTGCATGGGTGAGGGCAGTTAGCAAGCCTGGGCCGGTCTTAGCCAGAATTGGGCACTGGGTAAAATGGGGCTAAGCCCTGCCCTCATGCTACTTTCCCAGGAATGTAGAGGAGGCCCACCATGTGCCTTCTACCTCCAAAGTGTGCACTGTCTATCAATCAACCAGTGTCCCTGTGTGCCAGCCCCAAGGAGCACAGGGTCCCGTGGGGGAGACCCACAAGTAAACAGGAACTCACAACTGGCACAATTCTCTTAATCAAGGGCTCTGGGTCTTCCTCCCTCTCTTCCACCTGGCCTTCACTGTGTGTATGTATATGTATATACATACATACATGGCTCTGCCTCATAGATATAAAACCCCGCCTCCCAAAGATGAACCATATTCTTATGGACTTATCTGATAGTTCTGCCAAATTTTAGCTGTACTGGGAGAACGGGCAGCATGAAAAGAGCCAGGAATCCCAGGGTTAGCTGAGAAGGGACAGCTCCAGATCAACAGCAGAATCGCTGGGTGGCCTCAGGTAAGAGCATGGAGGGTGGAAGAGCCTTGCTGGCCAGCCTGCCACCTCACTCTCCACTGAGGGGCAGACTGAGGGCCAGGACTTCCAATACCCAGCCCAAAGAGAAAAGGTCATGCCTGCAGCTCCTGGGGGGAAAATGCAGTTATGGGAGAGGTCCTGGCAGCATAATGGCCCTCTCCCACCCTTCCTTCCAGTCTAGTATACCATCCTGCCCAGCCTAAGGTGGTGGTGGTTGGATCAAGATGCAGCATCGGTGGTTTAGGGACTGCCTCAGTGGAAGAAGTTAACCCATCCCCAGGGGTTAACAGGGCAGAACCTGAATCTGCCAGGAAGGGTTTGGACTAAATAATAAATAGAATAGAGGGGCCAGGAGCAGCTCTGATTTTAGGAGGCATGACCTGGGGTCCAGCCCTGCTGTGGGCTGTTTCCATGCTGAGGGG